TAAATGTGTATAGTTATTTAGAGACTACATCATTATTATCTACAATGTATTGATATAGTTTTAATTGGCTAGTCCTGTTCCTTAGGAATAAAAAGTGAAATGACTACCAGTTAGAACCTGTAGGGGTCGGTGACCAAAGAAGTGGCGCCGCGGCTTTACACCGATTGGCGACTGCTCCACGCGTCTGATTCATAATTTGCACCACCATCCGAGAGCTTTGTCGACATGACTCAAATCACTGTACCTACAGTGTACATATTCAGCAAAACACAAAAAACGAATATTTCAATGCTCGCTATATACAAAAGTATTATATGCAAAATAACTACTGTTCTTAGATGGACCTAATTTCATTACCACGCTGGAGTATGAGGATGACGCACATTTCCACGCAGCCAACACACACGACAAGTGACGATAATAACCTTTGACCGTTTGCCTAATTGGTCGCGTGGTCACACATTGTAAATTATAGACCATTTTGTAGCATTCGCAATCAGCCATTAAATTATTGTAATTTGAATATTGTCAAATATTTATGAATCGTAATATAAGTATTATCAGGTGTGTTGTTTTTACTAAATCTAGTAATACGAAAAATATTCAATAACTCAATACTAATTCAACTCGTTTCTCACAATGAGATAAGGCGAACGAACGCTGCGTAGTTTCTTGCCACCAGGCGTTTTTTCATGTGTTACGTCCACATTCTGGAGCGTGTGTGTGTCGGCTAGGCAGGTTGTGTGAAAAACATAGTGATGAGGGTGTAGCACCCGCACCCGCGGAGGTGGCGGGGTGCTCGTTGAGGGGAATGTTTTGGACCTGAGTTCAATGCATTCGCGTCGCCACCTGTAGAACATAGCTCTAAAGAACTTTAGGCTATTTTTATATTAATTTTTATACCTACATATTTGTTTTAGACCTGCCTGAATACAATACACCGCTATTGTCTTTCAACTAACAAAGCACTTTATTGTAAATGAAATATTTAGATTAATTACAAATAAAATGAATTTAAGCATATAAAATGATACGTAATACGAGAATTGTCACTGTTTTTAGTTAAGTTTCATAAATTACGCTCACTGGGGGGTCAAATATTACAACAAAGTTCCGTACCATTTCGTCGAACAGTAAGGGTAAAACCATCGGCAGTTCAGTGACCTGCCATTCTCCTGGTTGTCCCTTGGCTTTATGGGGTGCACTCCGCGTGCGCTTTCTCGCTCATGCATCGGCATCGTGCTATCTCAACTGATTTCTTTGCAACAAATCAAAAATTAAGCCGATAAAGCTCTCAATAAAATCACATATCTAATATATTTGACGACTTGCATTATGTATTTGAGACCCAGACAAACCTATTTGTCTTATCGTGGGTCTATTGTAAATCTATTCAGAATCTTAGTTACAGAGACATCTAGTTAGAATGAAATAAATATTTTAGCTAATATTAAACTAATATTTTATTTGTGATTCTAACGCTTATTTTGATATTACGTATCTCTTTTCTTGTACACACGTACGTATAGTGCCAAAAAACTTCAGTAATCTTATCTTTAATGTTTACGGAAATGGTTTACGGAAACGGTTTTTGTATTTTGCTTTTTAAACAACTCCATCACTCAGTGAGACTTTTATTTATAAACTTGGAAATTGTGGACAAAGCTTGTTTTGAAACATAACCATTAAGTATAGCCACGTGAGGATTTAGCTTTATGTTATGCACGTTATTTAGTTAAACCGTTTATTGAATTAAGTCGTTTGAACATTCAAACAACGATTAAACAAACATGAACTTTGTTGTCTTTTCAATTTACATTACAATACATACAAAACAAAATAAAAATAACGCTTGACCTGGCTGTAAGTACTGGCCTATATTATCATATTCAGAAGTACCGTCGCAATAGACGCGCATCTCACAAACACCGCACAAAAGTGCCGGCTGGTAACACGCAGCCAGTAGGCAACGCAACGTATCTCGTTAAATGGCGTCTTCCTCATTCGCTTCGTTTCTAGAGCTAGAAGGAGATGACACGAAAACAACTTATCTGGCACTGTTAAGAATTATGTGTGTGTGTGTGTGTGTGTGTGCGTATCTGTGTCTGTAATAAGGAAGGTCAAGCAGATGAAACGGACTTAGTATGTATACCCATGGGTAAAAAAGAGACGCAATGAAAACAAATCAATATCATCATCTCGCGGCGTTTTGCGATGGAAAGAGACAGCGCAATAACAAACCGGCATTTTGTGCCGGCTTGATATTCTATGAGGAAGAACTGTATTTTAATTTCAACTGTATTGCAACTGATTATGATATAATTTCGTCTGCTATAGAGTTGTTTACGGACTTAAACAAGAACGCAGTCAATTTATATTTTCTTGTCCGTTTGCTTTTAAGTAGGTAGACTCATTTAGTTAACGGCAAACCGGTATTTTTTAATATAATTATGTATGAATAAAATAAATGCCGATAACCAACAATGGAAACTACAAATGTCATTATACTTACTATTTATAAAAAAAGAAATCATTTTTTTACACATAGGTACAGATAGGTATATCTATGTCTATATATATATGATTGAATAATTAGATAGATATACAGGTACATAAATACGTATTATTTTAACATAATCGTCACATATTGTAGATAAAAAATAGTAAAATACAAATAAGGTTAACTGAAATAAACTATTAAGAGAACAATGTGATGAGACTTGTATAAGAAAATGCATAGATGGGTAGCTACGTCGTACAACTGCACACTACTGGTATCGACTACTGCATTGCACACATAGAACTGAACTGGCACGTGTAAGCGTGCCGACGACACACTACGATAGAACTAGGGTTATTCTGAAAACACATCTATGGCTTTTCATCATACTAATAAATAGGACATACTTGTTGCAAATACATACTAATAATTATACTGGACGACAAAAAATATGGTATTATCTGTCCAGTATCATATAATCGTTAATATCATTTTATACTATACACAAAATTATGCTTTCTAATTTAAATTCCCAATCTTTCTTTCCTTTGTTCACCCTTTGCCAACAAAATTTTTGGTAACGGCTCTTAGTCATCATAACCAGGTTTGGCTGAATGACAATATTACGCGAGGAATAACTGCAATAATGAAACTATCATAATACTATACTAATTTCTACCTTTTACACACATTGGACCTAATTTCTTTTTTATTAATTTACTTGCATTTAAATCGCTTAAGAATGATATAAAGTTCAGATATATTGCACGGAGCGGACACTAGCACGCATACGTCACTAAGTACGCAAGAAACCTAGCAGAAATATATACATTTGAAAAAAGTATATCAAAGCTTTATCAAACGCTGAAAGTAGGTCAGTGGTGCAGCGAAGGGAGGGAGCCGCCCTCCTGAAGTAAAACACGCGCACCGACATTCGATCCACACTCCCCTCGTCCCGCACCAAGGGAAGGTGAAGCTATATTAAAATAAACTATAGATACCTACTGTGCCAACTCAAGGAACTGATACGTTCTTGTAGGTCTTACTATTTTATACGAATAGATTCTTCTTGGTAGCGACTAGTGTTCATTTTTAAACAATGTTATGTAATTATTATCGTACTTATTGCGTCGTCGAAAAAATATTGTCGATGTCTTAAATCATAAATTATTAGTTTGAGAACAATATTTATACAATTATTTTTTGTATATTTCTGGCAAAATAACTAGATAATGCTCTAGTATTGATTTTTTATGTATAGTACAATAAAAGTAAATGGTGACTTGTGAATTAGGTAATTTTTACTGATAGGTTTAAAATCCAATATTAAATTGGATAGAACCTTCAAATCCGTGATATTAGACGAAACCCTGAAATGGCATAATGTAACAAACCTACCATATTGATTGGTTCAAATTAAACAAAGAAGCGCAACCTTCATACACCACCCTTGGCCCTGGTGCTTCGACCCAGTTCGCGGTCTCTACCCCTCCTCCTCAACCACCATTTTGCACTCCCCGGACTACGGTGCTCCTCTACCTCATTCCCCCGTGACCTAACCTACTTTTGATTGCACTTAAAATAGCTACGCTGCCAGATCTGACCCAGCAAATTTAACTATAAATCTAGATTGAACCAATCATTATAACATACGATTCGTTAGTTTTAAGTTATATTGACTAAATCAATCAATCAGCTATTCATTCACAAATGGGTATCAACCATAATTATAAAATAAAAATACATAATATTTTTTTATTGTTATAAGCCTGTTAACGAGCAGACGGATCACCTGATGGTAAGCAATTGGCGTCGCCCATGCACACCCGGTACAACAGAGGCGTTACAAGTGCCATGATACAGAAAACATATTTTCAATGACGGAGGTTTCTGCACATTTTTTTACGACTGAAGTAGATGAAAAGGTTTAATTAACTAAAACTTAACACCATTAAGTATAATGTACCGTTGAATGTATATAGCCCAACTCAGCTGAAATAATGTGGCATTGAGCAGAAGGTCGATGCAGAAACTTTGGCAAGACACGCCAACTGCGGCCCTGCGTATGTTTCGTCACGGTCGGTTTACTAACGTGTGTAAATTTAGTGAAGTGGACGCTACTTCAGTAGTTTTAAGTTAAAAGAATATTCGATATTTTGATACACATCTTTACGTGTAGACTTTATATGCTATTTATAATCACTAGCATTTATGCAGCACTCGAGAACCCCGCAAGCTGGTTACGGAAATTTTATAATTATATAAACTAAATAGTCACATAAAACTCACCAATAGAAAATATGTTCTAACAATGCATGATGTCGTCACGCTTTGTACAAAGCGTGGCGCTTACTTGCGGTGAAGCAGTGTTACCAGCAGAACGACGCGTTTTGCTCGCAAGGCCGCGACCTAGAGTTGCTTCCGTCTCCACTACAACATCGCTCTTCATAAAATCGGTACAAGAAACATCATTTTCTAATTATAACTATTATTGTTACAGATTAACAGCGTTGTGTTTGTATGCACTTGGCGAGGATGCACATACAGCACAAATACTTGCTCAGCTATTGAAGCACATATTAGAAACACACATTTGGGGTAAGTCAAATATCGTTTGTTATTTTCAAGTTGTAGGTCTACGAATGGATATTATTTCATTTGTAATATTTTTTAATACATATGTACCGGTAGCATAAACCTAGCAAATTAACTCACAAATAGTAGAATGCAACAGTCACGTGTAAAAAGGTCACGTGCGTCAGCCACTGCACGTGCTAGGTGCAATAATAATTGCGCAATGCCTACAAGCCAGCTGGCAAGGTTACAGCCTGAATGCATCTACTGATGCATGTTAGCAAACATTTTACTTCCTGATCAGCAGAGAAAGATTTAAAAAAATTGTAAGACAATAACGTAGTACGTGTATAATTTTAAACATAACGATTTTTTATTTATATTTCATGTATGTACCAATAAAAATAATGCTGAGTAAGACCTTGATGTCTACAATACAGTAGTTAGCATAAAATAGTTAGAGAATACAGAAAGGCCGGCCCTTGGTGACCCGGAAGCAACGAGGCTTCGCGACAAGGTTGCTCGCAACAATCCCGCCAGCGCGCGCAAGGCCATTCGACAACGCCCGCAGCCCACTACTTACGTAACGCTGCCCTACTATGATCTTATAACCAATGATACAATACCTACACTTTATTAAATGTATTTATTTGCAATGCAATTTGCAGCCCTATTTATTTTATATGTAGGCTTACGTAGGCATAGATTCTATCAATATTACGTATTTAAAAATAAATATTATTATTTAGGTTTAACTGTAATATCATAAAATCTAATATGTTGAATAATACACACTGACAAAAATGTCATTAAATATGAATTACTCACTTTTCAGGCCAAAGAAAGAAGGTGATAGTGACCATGAAGAAGAGTTCTACTACACAGAGAGGGAGGTGGCCGCCCCTGCACCGCCACCCACACTCTCCCACCGAGACATGTGTCGCCCACCGCATGAGGATCCTGAATATCAACGTCAGCTAGTAGGCTCTTTCAGGTATGTACCACATTCATAAATGTACATCATGTGTTTGGGTACAATTAGTTACTTATGGATTTCGAACGTTCAAAGAGACCATTATTAGTCAATTCCTTAAGACCACACATATAATAAGACTAACTGAATAACTAGAACTGTTTAAGATAAACGAACTCATTTTTTTTTTTATTTTTGCCACCTTTTTAACTGGCATTCAATACAAATCACTGATTTATAATATACATATGTAGGTGCATAGGTTGTATTGTATTTTTTTATTTTTCGCAGACAAGGATTACTGTCTACTCTGCAGAATGGAACTGCACGGTCAGTAAACATTCCTGTAACTCATCACTGGGTCAATACGCATTCGCCGGTAAGCGCTACATTAAGAATGAGCAATGTTATAAAAAACATGGATTTTTATAAATACGTATGTCCTAAATTTCTTATAATTTTGCAGAAACATATGCGGCTATCTGCAGCGAATGGATCACCAAGTAGTCCAGGCCGACGACCACGTTCAGACAACAAAAAATGTCGTAAAGTATATGGAATGGATCAACGTGATCTCTGGTGCACTCAGTGCAAATGGAAGAAGGCATGCACGCGTTTTGGTGATTAGCGGTCGCGACGCTCGCACGCATATGCGCGGGCAGGGCAAACAAAATGAATACAGAGTTGTATTATTGATACATCTATTTACCCAGCATAAAATAAAATATGACAAGACATTCGCGGTAAGCGAGAACTGTTCCGCGATTAACTCGTGATTTAAGTATAAGAAAATTTATATTATGAATCAAAGTTTTTATTTATTATAAGCAGAGACAGATAAATTTACATATATTGGATAAAAATTAATGGAGACATATTTTTGCTCTTTATATGTGGCTCGTGTTTTGACTGCTGCATAATGGACATTGCCCACGTATTTTTGTAGCGCAGTAGATTCGCCTTAATTGTGACGTAAATGTGGAATGCAAAATCGTGTGACGCTCTTGAGCGGAGACTGTGAATATTAGAATATAAGTAGCTGTAAGTTTAGACTGAGATGAATAACGTGTGAAACCATTTTCCTCGACGAACGTTGACAATGACGAGTAATTTTAATTACTGGTTATATTACGATGGCTTACTACTAGACAAACCGGTGTTGATAATATTAAGATTGAATTTTATCATTTAACCGTGAAAGATTGGCCAATTCCGTCCACATCTTCGAATGTGCATCAACGATTATATCGACCACACGTCGTTCGGGATAATGTTTTCACACCATTTCTACTATCTACAGAGTATACCATTGTATGCTCTGTCGTTCGACAACATGTTGTCGAAAATACTTCAGTGATATAATAAATCACTAAATATGAAATGTATATTGACTGACTTATTAGATGATAATAAAATATAATATATGAAATTAGCCTAGTAAGTTATCTCAGATTCGACGAAAAGACTACTAACATGTTTAGACTTAAAATTTTTATGAACATATCTGTGTTGTATACAATGATGGTCCTACTAGAACAAGGAGACAATACTCAAAAGATGCCAAGTGCATCAGCGGCGCGGGAGCTTTCCATTGTGGTATTACCGACGACTCCTTTGCGATGCCGTATAAATATTACAGAACGAGTACAAGCAAGGCTATGACGTCCAGAGAAAGGAAAGATATTGAAGGGAACATCACACTGTACAATGTGAAGATGACTGCACATTATGATTCATTAGAACGCGACGTTCACACGCCGACATCGCGACCTAATGTAAACGTCGTAAAAACACTTGAAGACGAGAATTGGACACAAAAGTGTCTTCTTATACCTTTAAGCAGACTGAATGATGACAGTCTACAAAGTATAAACAACATCTACCTACACGTACAGATTTGGAGTGGAATATGTAATGAGGCCGCAGAAATGCGAAGGATTGAAAGAAAGGGATGGCGATTGCGAGAACTGCAATATTACTTTTAAGTATTACTGAATTAACATGTAAATAATAATTATACTATAGTGAATTATATAAAGATATTATTCTGTATCTACCTATTTAAAAATTGAAAGCAATCTTTGGATGTGTACATAGATAAAGTATAAAGTATATTATTATTGTTACTTAATGTGATTGTTTAAATCGAACTTTTGTACGGCTTCGTAATAACGAGTTTATAACTTGTAGATATAAGGCACAGTAATTGACTTACAAGAACCGCGATTAGTTTTGTTTCGTCACCTACATCACGGCATAGTAATAATTATTATTTTTGTTTGACAGTTACCAAGGTTCGTTGTTGTTGGTTGATAGTTATGGTTAAGTTAAAGAATCACAAAATGCTTTTATTACTAAAATAACAGTACTAAGTTTACAAATACTCCGTGTTCTACCATAGGTACCTACGTATGTAAAGTTAAAATGTGCCAATCGTAAATGATACAATCACTGTGAAATCAATATTAGACTATTTTACACGTAATGTGTTCATGTGTAAATTAATATGCACTCGGAGCTATTTAGTAATATCGGTGCTGATACAAATAACGCACATTACAGATACCTATGTACCGTGTTTCAAGACTATTCGGTTTTATACAAGTTATTAAAATACGAATATCTACTGATATTGAAAGTAATATCCGTATACGTAAAAATATCATGTTTTTAATCTCATCCAATACAATGTATATCAAATTATTTTAGATCTGATCATCCCAAATAGAATATTTTTCTTAGCTCACAAAGTGTGAATGTTTTTCTTGTTACTTAGAAAAAAAAACATCGCAAAACTTCGTAGGTATGTAAAGAATGCTTACCCATATCAGAAAACGTGAAAATAATATTTGCCTACTAATTTTTAAATGAACTTAAAATTTGAAGAAACATATTCAGCGCATCTTGCCAAATTTCATCATAATTGTTTTACAGGTGCTTTATTATTTTCAATATTACTTGTATATTTGGATATTGTGCTATCATAATAATTATGTTACGTGATGTACCTGTAAGTCTTACCAAATATAAAATTTCATTGCAATATTGGTTGTGAAAATGATAATGAAGTTGTCATTCATAATTAGCAAAACACAAACGCTCGACGCAATGAAACTCCGCGCTTTCCAGACCAAAAGATCACCTGTAGTCGTAAGCAACAACTCAGCTAGCGATTTGACAACTGCCATATTGTAAGAATCTAGAATTAAACTGCAGCTTAGATTTAAACATAGCTCTTAGTTGTATTTTAAGTTGAAGTCATAATAATAGTATTTAATAATGTTTAGGTACAATACACGTATTACGTATATTTAGTTAATATTTGTTATTTCACACAAGTGAATGTTTGTAAATAATTTCAGCTATTATTACAATCATTGATCAATGACATCTACATGTTACACATTTATAATTTTCAGATTTGTCTCATTCAAGGCCCGTGCATAACTTTGCTTGCGTCATTTGGAGGCCCATACATATTCACATTAAAAGGACATATAGACTTACCGCGAGTTAAATTAAAACACTTTGTAATATTCTCATACATTACAATTATAAATATTCGTTGGAGTCCACAGAACGCCACATGGCATGCTAGTTTCATATTTATGCATAAATACGATGCCGATCTCAATTTACTTTCGAAGCTACTAGAGTTATGTTTAGGAACACGATATTTCATAGATCATTTCTTATTTTATACAAATTATAGAAGATTTTTTATAGATTTTAATTATTTTTAAATAAAGACACTTTATTTATTAATGACTAAGTGGTTTGTAAATATTTTTACGTAATTTACTAATTTATTTAGCCAAAATTTTTGCTCAATTTTATATGCACTCAACACCAAAGTCATAATACTAACAAGAAACTACATATCAGTACAAAAAGCATAATTGAAACAATAATTAGGATATTTTGTTCGTACATTCAGACGTTCACATGTCAAGGGCTATTCTTGTTAGTCACGTATAAGTATCTATTGCACAGATTTTTTTGATTTGACAGAATTTTTGTATGTACCATCTGCGTCGAAAATGTTAAAAATAAGAAGTAGTCCACAGTCCAATATAAGCAAGTGATCAGCTCCATAATTTGGTCAGTCAATATTTTAGTTAATGACACGGAATTTTTTTCTTTTATAACTTATTGAACACAGTACATTTTTGTAAATATGTAATAAATTCACAAGTTAATAATGTTTATTTATAATATTGATAAGTACCTGGTAAAATGCGAGAACACAACGTAATTGATAGAACTATCGGTACTTATAATCCTAAGAATCTGACGATGTATTAATTATAATTAATGACATTGTAATAACCATGTTGTACCTTCTAGTTGAGTAGCATATTTACTTAAAATTATTGTATAACCTTTATTCTAAATAGTGTCTTCGTGAATTTAGATTACTTCACATTTTCATATGTTTAGTGCCCTTGTTGTAAAATAATTCAGTTAAAGTTATGGTACCTACCTACATAGCTAGCATGTGTATTGTTATCTACACTATTTACATTAATAGTATGTTTATCATAGTTTTATGTCACTATTACTTCACTATATTAATATACATACATAACGCGTCAAAAACTTACCTTTTAACATAATATGTGCACAAACATGCGCCACACACAAGAACGGAGAGTAAAACTAGCGGAAAAATTTAAACACTGGCACCCAACTTCATGATGGCAGTCTTTGACGCGTAGTGTACAATGTGTTATATTATTGTAAATTGTTTAATCTTAATTGTATATCATTTTAACTATTTTAAAACCCTACATATTTGATTGAATGTTTATCCTTTATGTATTTTGCAATTCCAATGAAGTTTATATTATTTTATGTGGGCAATTATAGTTTATAAAAATATGTCTCCTGGTTTAGTAGGTACCGAATTAAGTACTTTATTCATATAGATATTTTTGACGTGTCCGATCGTAGCTACTACACTCAGCTTTTTATTTATCTAACAACTAGTCGACAACGACAATATGACTCTAACATACATCTAGAAATGACCATTATGTAAAAAATGTACTACGTTTGTGCGTAGGATGTTTTATATACTCCGTTACTTCATTAGTTGTTGTGTATAATAGCAATAATTTGGAAGAAAGAAAATGTCTTAAAAGTATTTTATATCAGTGCAAACTGAAGAGCGTCTTGGAGTCTAAATATTATTATTATTAGCGTAAGCTTATTTTACGGGCATCACTGACTAGGTACTAAATGTTAAGTATCACGGCTAATTGCTATGAATTTATCTCGAAACGTATCGTCGATGGGTACCTACCTACGAATACTGCATGTTGAGTACCTACTTTCGCCATTTCTACATGTTGTCTAAATTCTGATGATAAATCTTTCATTTCCTCCTCAAGGCAATGGTATCATGTTATAATAACCACTCGTGTACATTGAATACGCTATAGGTACCGTCTCAAATAAACGTTTGTCGCTAAGGCCCTACTCAAAGTATGGAAACCTTAAACTTTTTCGCGATACGTTCTTCATATACTTGGAAGCCTAGACAGCAATTTCATAATAAGTGCTAAAAATATAAATGAGGAAAATTTGTACATTCCAATGTCAAATATATGCAATTAAGCAAAAGATAAAATATTACAAAGATGAGTTATTAATTACATTACGTTAAATGTGGTTTATAATAAGTGTACCTATAACAGTTACAAGAAGTTACTTAAGCAATTGTTAAGCCAGTATGTATCAAATTTATTTAAATATCAATACTACATAGGATTCAGAATCATGAAGTATCTAGTTTCTTGTTAAGAGCCGGTGGATACATCGATACGTCGTTATTAATGGTTACCAATAGTTTTAAGGTCGCAAAATGATCAAATGTGTTGATTAATTATCTCTCGATAGATATTATGTGTACGTATTCAGTTATCAATATCACAGCAGTTTGTTAGTGTCCTGTCAGCTCCAGTTTATCATAATAACTGCCTTTGACTTGGTTTCTGTGATTATTTACCACCAATGTTGTTGCCTGGTAGCGACTAGCTGGCAGATATTCTACTGTGATATTAATGATTTTATTTATTATTTTCTAAATTATTATTTATAACTTTAATGTTGAATGTGAGCATGTTATATTTTACTGAAAAAATCTTAGATTAGATGATGTTATCTTTATATTGTATCTAAAGTAAAGGTCCAGAATGTGTTCCATATTGATTTAATATTGATAGTTATAACAGTAATATTATTAAATGTTTCTGTTAATAATTTGAAAATGATATTGTAACAAATATTGAAACAGGAAGAATTGTACATCACAAAACTTAACAGCTATAATAAACCGCACTTTGAGCTCTCTATCTGTAGTGTATAATACTGCATTTCATAGCGGACTACATTTGACTGTGAAGTATTGTACCTATATAATAAATATATCTATCAACAAAATAATGTTAAACAGTTTAATGAAGTATATGTATATTGAAAAATGTTATTATTTTATTACATGCTACTTCAAGTAGACTATTTGCCTGAATATACCTCAATAAGTTTAGTATGAATTTGTGTGTCTTGAAAAATATATTTCAATTATTAGAATCTATGTGGCATTATTTTTCTGACCCTATTTTAAATCCTGCGTATTATTAATTTACTATTGACATTTACATTAAGTTAGCAAAGATTATGCTGACTGTGTAGATCAATAATGAAAACTTGAGAAACCATCTACTTAAGGTCCAGTGGATAAAAATTTGCATGAGTCATGCAGTGCGTGCAGAGTAGGTGTCTGACACTTGAATAAAGAAATCATAAAAAAGTACTAGTGGATTGGTCAATATTTATAAATTACATTCCTACATAGCTATGGATTATAAACCAATGCAATATATACGATATAATAAGCAACCTCTTTTAGGTGAAAACTTCATTTGCTAAGTATATTTATTTGATTTATTATATTCTTTAAACGAGTTCCTTCAAATGGTAAAAAGAATATAATAAATATCGTTTACCCAAGTAGGAACTAAAGAACTTACCTGTAACGTTCTTTGGTGCACGAAGAATCCACATTATTTGCTAATTGAAAAGATATTGCAACTGCCAATGGTATACTTTTATCTAAATGTAGCAAATTGAAAAATGCATAAGCAAAAGCAATAAGGCACGATTAAAAAGCCAAAAGCAACAAACAAAACCAGCAATTAAAGCAGAAAACAGTTGAATTAAGTATCATTTAGTGTAGTAAGATTGCTTTTTTCAGTGTTTTTGTGTACTGGTTTCTATCAAGCGACTTGTACAACATATTATACACTTTAAATAAAAAAAAACAATGTTTCTTACATTTTCAATTTTTTTTTTAAAGTAACTGTAGAATATAAAAATTACCGTAGTACTAATAGTAGTATAATAGTCTATGGCTCAATTAGGGCTTGGGGTACTTTTAGAAGCATAAATAACAAAGTTTTTATTTCTATGGTAGATTTATATCACTGATATGATAAGAATGAAATGAATGATGATTTAAGTTTAATGATTAAGTTTAATGATTGTTTATTCACTCATAAAGAACATGGTTCACTTACAATGAGCTTAAATGACTATTTATAGCTATGTATACAGAGTCATGAC